GAAGGGCCGGGGACCTCTGTCGCTGCAGCCTTAGAAACCCTGATGTGCCCATTTGATTTTGCTCCAGCCTCACGAAGCTCGGAGAGTTAAAACCTGCACACAAAAGCTGTGGGGGTGAGTGAGGAGGAGGGTTTCAACGCAATATTTAAAATTCCCTTGGGCTGGGGTGTTCCTGCGCTTTGGATGAGTTGAGTGTGTTTTCCTGCTGAGACATCTACATGTGTGGACAGAGCTGGAGTCCCTCAGCCATCAGAACACATGTGTGCATGTTCAATAGGGCACTTCCTAGAGAAGCTTCTACCACCCTTTAAAAAGGCAGTAGGGACTTGAATGGGGGGGGGGGCGACTTGGGGCAGAGTGTCCCATGCCCGGGGACAACTCTTGCTAAGAATGAATGAAGTTCTGAGGAATCACGTGGCTGGCCCTCTTGGTTTTCAGGTCCCCCCGTGGCCGTGGGAATGAATATTGACATTGCCAGCATCGATATGGTTTCTGAAGTCAATATGGTGAGTACTGAGGTTTATGACTGTGTCTACACAGACATTAATTGGGGATAGGAAGGAGAAAGGAGCCAGCCACTGGGGGCGGGTGTGTGTGTGTGTGGCTGTGAGTATGAAGTGGGGGCAAGGGCAGGGGATTTGGGTTTGGAACCCAGTGTGTTTGTGGTTTCGGAGCCAGCTCTTTTTGGTCCCTAAAGATTTTCCCAACTTGGTTCTTGGTTCGAATACTAGTGAGTAAAATGCATCACACATTCACATGCAAAATGCAGCCACGTGCAGGATCCCTTGCAGAAGCCACATTTCCTAAGGTTCAGTGGGAAACCAGGTTCATCAAATGTTGTTCTAGGTTTTGGGTGGGGTTAGGGGGAAGAGGAGAAGCTTTTGGTTTAACATTTAAAAGAGAAGATTACCTATAAACTAAACTGTTGCAAAGAGGCTGAATAAATTTCCCAGGTGATACTCATGTCCACTTGTTGCTTTCAGAGGTGACCTCTATACTACTGAGGGCAAGCCCCCCACCAACCCCATTAAGCCCCCCTGATCACCCAAATAAATAAAATAAAAATTGGCCATCCTTGTGTTCCAAAGGCAGACTCAGACCCATGTGTCCCCCTGGGCATTTCTGCAAGGCTGTGCACCTTATGTCCTAAGCTTGTGCAGTTTACGGATAGCAGCCCTCCTTGGCGGCTACCTCCTTAGACTTGGGGCAAGGGCTGAGAGAGAAGGCCTCCGAGTTCCCTACTGGGAAACACTTGTGGGGGCTAGTTTCGTGCCGGTCCGCCCCCTGCTGCCCATGCTGGGGCACTGCAGACACACAAGAGAAGACAGGTGGCCCAGATACCCTCACTTACTCCCCGCTTTTCTACTCTGTTTTGAAGTTTCCTCTTTGGAAAAGTTACTTCTAGAAAGGGCACATTTCATTGTAGGGTTACTTTCAATTCTGGTAGCACAGAGCACATTTCTCAGAAGACTGCCGAGAAACGGAATGTGCTAGTGTGTAAGGTTTAATGCCAGCACTTCAAGCCAGCCCGCAGGACTTGAAATTTAGGACACTTACGGCCCAGAGCCCGGGTGCTGTGTAGTGGACATGCTCTCAGCATTACGCTAATTGTCACCTTCCCAGAATTCAAACAGAGAAAGCTCACATAGCCAGCCTCGTTCCCCTATACACTGCCCAAAGACAGGTGATAACCCTGAGGTATCACAAGATTCTGAAACATCTCATCGCCGCTGGAGGGAATATTCAACTCCTTCTCTACTGTTTCACTGACGTGGATCTTTTTATTTTCTAGTTATTGGGCAGGCTTTTACCATGTAGAGTATAAACACAGACTCAAGGCAATCTTGAATGGTTCTGAAACTCAGATTTCCCACACATTTTGTAAGTCTCATGTGGGTAGAGGATATTTCTTTCTTAGGACACTAATCTCTCAGATATACAAATACCCACTTTTGTGGGATTTTAGAGGTCATTCATCAGAGTGTATTTTGAGTTTTACCATAAAAATTAAAAAATGTCCTAACGTGGCTACCTCCTAAATCCCAGGTACTTGAATCTAAATTGTGTTGCTAAAAACAAAGTAAGGTAGAAATTAGGTGTGCTTCAGTGTATCCCACGTGTGACTGAATTAGGTCCTCTCTTTTGCATTTCGGTATATTCAAAATGCTCTTTTCTCTTCCCAAATTTTATTTTACCACCTTTCCTTTTATAATGTCACNGTCAAAAACACAGGATTTGATAGAAAAATTAAGAACTATTTAAAATCCAGAGAGAGTCATGACATAACTAAAAATTGCTGCAATAGATAAACTAAGAACTTAGATGTATTATAATCCCAAATTGTTTGGTACAGGTGTTTTTTTTTTCTCTTCTTCTTGATGAGTTTAGTTCATNATAAACTAAGAACTTAGATGTATTATAATCCCAAATTGTTTGGTACAGGTTTTTTTTTTTTTCTTCTTCTTGATGAGTTTAGTTCATTTTTTTTTTAACCTGTATGCAGCATTTTGGAGAGGTATCTGAATTGGACACAATGCCAAGACCTGCTAGTCAAAATATAGACCCAGCTAAGGCGAGGCATCATCTCTTCAAGTTATTTACTGTTGCTGAAAAATCATGGGATGTTGGAAGTATAAAAATAAATGTCAGGTTGTAAATAGGACAGCAGTGCAGCATTAATGATTAGAACTGAGTGTTAAAAATCCCCTTACAGGTTCCTTTCTTGGCCCAGTGCTAACACACGTGGACTTGTCCAGACACATTTGGACTTACAAAATAAACTTATTTCAGCTAGCAGTCTCAGTAACCTTACATTACTCCTTCAAAGAAAAATTGTGTGATGTTTGCTATTTACTTAAATATGCTTATTTGATTTAACGCAGCAGATGGGAAATTCCATCACTAATGTCTCATTAAAGAAGATGTTTGTGGCATTTTGTCCCCTGCATACAGGTCTAAAAGGATTAGGGTTTTTAAAATTAGATTCAGTTCTGAAAAAACAGTTGATTGATTATTTAAGTGACACCTCAAAATTGATTAACACCCATGTTTCTGCTTTATTATCCTTCGTGGCCTGCAACCCCTGGTAATTGAGACTTTATTATAGCAAATATTTCTCTGGAGAATGGTAGGCACTAGACCATTTAAATTGTTACTGACTCGTTTGTACCAAAAGAAAAAGATCTGAGTGTGTATGCTGATCCTGGTAAATGACAAAGCTAGAAAAACCCTGATCTGATCCAGGAGTCTGGGTGCTCGCTCTGCTTCTGCTGTGTAGTCATCCTGAGAGATTGACTCCCCTGTGAAAGGGGACTGGGTCCCAGTTTACCTGTCTCAGGCGACCACCAGAATTAATGAAATACACATGTGGAAGGTATTGGCGTTCTGTGAACGTAGCCTGTGTAGAAGGTTGAAGCCCACGCTGTCACTCAAGGGACCCAGCGTCCCCTGCAGCCGCTATCCTGAGTAAGGCTGGGTCAGTAATTTACATCAGCATGTCTCAGTTTCCTCATGTTTGAAATGAGAGGGGACATGTTAAGTTGATTTCCAACTCAAAGTAACACATGTCTCTGGTCTGGTTTATTACAATAGCTCTGTTGGGGTCAAAGACGTTCTAGGAACACTTGGAAAATCAGCACACACTAAGGAAAATGCAGAAAACCTAAATGTCCTGCAGTCCCGAGTTCTTACTCAGGAGGGTGACAGTGGCATCTTACTCAGACATGTGACTCAGGTTGGCTCAGTGGAACATCTTTGGAAGACCGTGATGTCAATTAGAATGCTCCTGAACAGAAAGCTTGGCTTTCCAATGACATATTTTTAGATGTCTTGGTTAAACTGGCAGGAATCTTTTTGTTAACATTCTTGATGAAAAGTGCATTTTAAGATCCAAAATTGGCTCTGAGGATTATGGACTGAAATAGCTTTCTCTTCATTTAAAGCAGATTCTTCTCCATCTTGAAACAACACATTTGCCACCAGAGAGTGAAGCAGTATTTCACTTTTGAGGAAAGGATTCTAGTAAACACAAACACAAATTACCTTTTTATGGGATGGCGAATGGAGAAAAGTACTGCCTTTTAAAAAAACAAAACAAAACAGATGTTTTCTTTACCAGCTGCAAAGTTTAAAATTCAGTTAACACAAATACTTATTTAGTGGCTACTATGATCCAGCCGTGTGCTTGGCCTTAGAAGAAAACAGTGAACAAGACCAACTTGTCTCCTGACCTCGTGAAACTTAATATATAGGCATCCACTATGGTTAAATCTTTGGGCTTCTACTGTACTTACACTTAGTAAAAGTTTTCCCTAAAACTTTTTCTGAACATCCAAGTGAGCACCCAGTGGTCTGTGTCTCCCATGGGTTTCTTTGTGGCTTGCAGACTACAACATCACTCATTTGTTATTTGATATTTCACGTTGCTTTATATCTACATATTTATTCTATCTTCCTAGCTCGTGTTTATAAAATACACAGAGACAGGGTTATTCTTTCCCTCCCCATGTGGTTTTGACTGTATAATGATTGATTAGATGTTCGGCTCCTGGTGTATGCCACACATTCTGGGTGAAGTATTTGTTTTTATGGCTGTAATTTGTTATTATTTACTAGATGCTGTGTCATATATGTGGAGAAACAGAGCATAGAATTGTAGTCCTGAATGTCAGGGCATTTACTGTTTAAACAAACAAATGTAGAAAGAATCACAATGTAGCATCATAAGTGCTTTGCAAGAGGAAATATGCAGGGAATACTGAGAATGTGGAGCACTGACGTGCAACATACAAGTTAGGTAAGTAAAGATGGGAGTTACGGGTCTATGGGTACATGTTGCGCACAGAAAGGGGGCATGTAGGAGAATAGGACACAGGCAAAAGAAGTGGCGTCACAGATTTTCATGTAGCTTAAAATGGCTGGGATTGGGAGTAGGCTTGAGGTAATGAGAGTTGGTACCGAGGTTATAGGTGGTGATCATATTATGAAGACCCGTTTTGTGGCTTGCTGAAGAGTTTAATTTTGTTTCCAAGGTTGTAGGCACCCATGAAAGGATATCCGTAGGAGAATCGTAGGAGCAGATACACACTTCAGGAAGATGCTTCCCAAGTGTGGAGGTTGGATTGAAGTGGAAGGTTGGGAGGTGGGATGGAAACCCAATGCAGAAACCCAGGAAGGACTGACGAACTAACACAGGGAATCGAAGGAGAGGATACAGATCCAGGGCATTTACAGGATAGAAGTGACAGGACTTGGTGAATCCCAGGTTTCTCATGGTGTCATTTACAGATACATAGAACAGAAAGAACAGCTGGATTGAGAAGGTGGGGATGGGCAATCTTGGAAATGTTGACTTCTCTGTATACATGGAACCTCTCAATGGAGATAACCAGTAGGTAATTGAAAAATGTAGGTCTGGAGCTGAGTAAGGAGCCATGACTAAAGAGATGAACTTGGACATACCAGCATGTAAGTGGTATTACTAGTAACTGTATGAATGGATGCAATT